ATGCTCAGAATCTTGAGGTGTGGGGTACACAGCCTAGTCAGTCAGTTCTGGTGGAAATTCTGGTATTCCCACATCCTATGTTAAAAAAATGCTCAGGCTCCGAGTAGGACTCGCACAGTGGAGAAATTCCCTGTCTTTATTCTTCCTCAGTACAGCGGAAAAATCTACAGTAACAATGAGAAAGCAGACAAATAATTTTGAATCCTCACTCTGCTGTGGTGTAACACCGTTGTCTCTGGGATGCCTGTTCATGCTCTCCTTTTCAGTGATTATGATAGAGTAAATGCAAGAGGAAAAAAGAACCTCTCCATCCTTTTGAATCAATGCAGGGAAAGATAAATCAGTGCTTCAGCCTTCTCTTGGCACTAAAGGGCCTTTTTTTTTTTTTTTTTTCCCCTGAGCATAGGAGGTAAAACTGATATTGGTATCTATGAGACAATATCCCTGCTTTGTGTCCTTATTGAAATGGCTTCCAATTTCTCAGTCTTGCAAAATTTCCAGTGCATTAATTTGGCACAAATGATTTATAGTTGATGAGCAATTAAAGTATAATTTTTTTCAGCATCTCAGGCTTTGTGACTAGACTACTAAATGATTTCACAGGCTTGCTCTATCATTACAGGATAGCGGTGGGATGAATTCACAGGAGAAATTTATTCCTCCTTGCAGACCCAGCATCTGCTCTTACTGCAAATTGGAGCACTGCTTGCATTCCCCAGATAATTTTCTCAGCATATCTTTTCTGCAGTCTTTGTTTGGACCTACAAGAGAGCTTTACTCTGTATTTCAGTGACAGTTTACTCTGACATTACAAAGTCCTTCCAAAATACCTGTTCTGTCTGGAACCTTTGATGTAGAGTGATGCATTACTTAGACCTGTCAAGGTATTTCAAAACTAGCAGCAAACAAAAGCAAGGTGGTGGTGGTTTTTTTTCTTTTTATGTTTGGAAGGGTAGCTCCCAGAGGTAAGTATGGTGGAAAAAAATCAGATGAAAGTACTGGCTACAAAGAGTCCTCATCTTCAAGTTGCTTAAATGTCATTAGATGACATTTAGCTAACCATGTCTTGATTCTGTTATAATGGAGGTGGAAACAGAACCAGAGTAGCTTCATGTAGACACTTCACCTTTCTGGAAAGGACATGACAGGTACAGTTGTCAACCCTGCTTGGTTTTGGTAGGAACAAAGAGCATGGAAATGAGCAGAAAGGGAAGGCCAAAAAAATTTTTTTTAAAATGAAAATCAAGAGATTCAGTTTTGACAGTATAGCTAGGCTATTCTGCTTGTAAGATCCTTGTGGGATTCCCCTCGATAAAAATAACGAAACCGTGCACTGACCAGTACGTGCGTCTCTATTCTCTTCACTACCACCTAGTGGGAAACTGCCTCATTAACTGAACTCCAGAGCTGCTCCTGCTCTCCAATCTCATCCTCACCGCGATGGTAGAAACCGTAAGTGACAGGGGAACAGCTGGATGACTGGGAAGAAGGACGCGCTCCTGTTTCCCCATACAGGAAGAGGAAGAGGGGCGGGAGCGCGCCTATAATTTAAGCCCATTATGCCCTATGGCATTCTCACACAGTGCTCTGGATCCAGGTCAGATCTTTATGGTTGTTACACCTTAGCCTCAGTTTAACTGAGACTCCCAAAGCTTAACAAATGTCTCTGGAGATAAAGAGTAAAACATTTCTTCTTCTGAATGCAACTGAATCCTGCAAACATGGTAAGGAGAAACTTGGGAAATTGCCCCAGTGTTGCAGTCAAAAGGTAGCCTTGTACCCTGCTTTACTCTGAAAGCTTAGGTTGTTCTGCTTCTGATTCTACTACTGAAAATATGGAAGGAGGCAGCAATAAAAAAAACCCATCTCTCCTTTGTGAAATCACATTTTCGATTATAGTCACATATTTACAACAAAGACTACTAAATAAAATGTAAATGGGGTATATATTTGGAACATTAAACCCATGTATTCAAGTGAGTCCTTTCCCACTGAGATACTCGGGGTTTGCACAAATAGCTGAAATCCAACCCTACTAAAACAACATATAAATGACAATTATCTCAGATTTTTCACACTCCCGTGCGCTATTTGGGACTAAGCTCCCAATGCACAAATAATAATCAGTTTTGGTACTTGTGTAGTTTTCTTCTCCCCAACCATAGAAATAAAGGTGAACATTATAATAATAGTTCTCACATTTCAAAGAAGGGATGATGTTAATGTCATTCAGGCCAATAAAGCATTTAGCAGTCTCAGCAGGAAGAACAGTAAAATGGTAAAGAATTATTAAAAGAACCATTTCTCTGTGTTTCTTTTGCCAATGGCAATTTTATCACTATATACAGGCTCCCTCTGCTAGCACTTCTATCATAAATATATTCAGGGTTTTTTTCCTTCTCTGTGTGCTCCTTGAAGCCACATTACATTGGCTTTATCCCAGCAAATTGTATTTTTCATCATGTACACTTAACAATGGATATAATTCATGAAATGAAAACAAAGGTAAAAATGATGTTTTTACCATCACCCATGACCCAAAGTCAGGCTTTGGGAGTCTATTCTGCCTTCTATTCTGTTCACAGGACTCTTCTGTTCATTACTTTGGTTTTGTCCTTGTGTATTAAGCAGAATACAGACCAGTAAGTCTAAAATAAGAATCATGTTTCTATTTATACTTTCATGCAGTCATTCTCAGTGTTAAGTAATCAACTTAATTAGTAATTCAACTTCTTTATTACATGTAGGGGAGAAGGGATTACACTGGAACAGTTAATCAAGACAGGCTATTATTTACCAATAAAATAGACATCCTTGCCTGGAAGGATATTGGAGAATGACAGGAATCCAGTTATATGAGATAGCTTTCACACAGTGTTATCAGAGTGTCTGCTACTTCAAGAGAGAAGAAAATTTTTTACAATGCACAGAAGTTGTATTTAAGTGTAAGTAGGACAATGCAAAGTAGCTGAACATGTTTAAATAATATTTATTAAATTTGCCATTAAAATAAAATAGAAATCAGACTTTTTGTGATTACTAATTGATATATTTCTCCAACCTGCATCCAAACTGAGTTGTTAATGTAACATTGTTCCTGTGCCTGCTATTAAGTTGACCAGTTTAATGTTGTAAATCTTACATCTTGTCAATGAAGCACTGAACTTGAAGGGTCTCAACTACCATATTAGTTACACCTAAGGAAAACGAAGCAATTCTGCAGGGAAAAAAAAAACAAAAAAAAACAACCCACACAGACCACCAGATACCGCAAACATGAGAAAAACAAGCAGGTATCATGCAGTGTCTTCAAACTTCAAAAGTTTCCCCTATCACAATTCCCAAAATCTCATTAGCCAGGGTAACTTGAGAATCAAGTCATGGCCCAGGAAATTGTTGCAATTAAGGAAATCAACATACAATAAGCATTGATAATAGATGAAAATGGGGTATAGCAAAACCAATACCTTTTTTTTTTCCAGGTATTCATCCTCAAGGCAAAATCCCTGAATACAATTCAGTTACAGGAGAATGTTCTCTGGATTATGGCACTCTAATTTAGCTATTCCTCTACTACTAAAACTATAATCTAGCTAGTTAATCTTTGCAACTTCCACCCTTGACCTCTGCTATTCTTATTATCTCACAACTGCAAATTGTGGCACTTGTGATAATCTGAGAAATATGGTATTGCAATCCTTTAGTGCCAGGGGATAAAATAGGGGTGCTGGCTAATTTGCATCAGGAGTCTCCTTCCTGCTTCCCAAATGTTGTCTGACTGCTAGCAATTTATAACATTTAAGAAACACTGAAAAGGTTGGTGGTTTTCCTGCACTGAAGAATCTAAAATACTTAATGGCGTGCTGAACCATTCATTAGCACAGTCTGGCAGGTTACAGTGAATGTTAAGTTGACTGTGTAGCAGTTTACTTCTTGTGTTGTTACAGAGTTTAAAACGGACAGTTCTAACAGACCAAGGGAAAAAGCCCTTCAGGATAAAGTGATAGAGAATGTTTACCTCTTCCTCAGTGTCTGAAAGGTTTCCATAATCAGTTAAGGATTGTCCACATGGCATCCAGTTGTAGCATTCAGTGAGGTCCTAACATACAAACAGATGTTCATTTCTGGTTTTATAGACTTCAAAGTTCACGGGTTTCAAGACAAGCTATTTTAAAAGCCCCTGCAGCTGAAGGTCTTCAAGGCAAGCAGAAGCAGCAGCAACAGGACTTCTAGGTGCATAAAGAATTTGTGAAATCACACAATATAGACAGATAATTTGTTGCTATGTTTTCTTCTCTTTACAGTTTCCCTTGACAAATACTGCTGTTCTTTGTTTAAACTTAATGGTCTGCGTCCCCATCCCCCCTCAAGCATTCAGCAGGTATATAGTTAGAGAACATAGATAGGATGATCTTTTAAACAAGAACAGTGGTAATATTCTCCATCTTAGTTTAGATAAAAGAAATCACGATGCCAAAGACAGACAGAAATAAGTAACACAGTATGACAGAATCGTCTCTGTCACATATTGCAGGAGGCCCACAGTCTGTTGTCTCTCTTTGCAAAGTCCTTGAATTATAAGGACAAACTATGTCATGGTTGGATACTGTAATTACAATTGACAATTACTGTTATCAGTCAGTATTGTTGTCATATCTACCGGGGGGGGGGAAGTAGGAAAACTATACTAAAAAATTAAAATACACAGAAATTGTATTAAAACATTGACAGAACAATGCCAAAAAAAGCTCACCATTCTTTAAATACTCTCCTAAGAATATGGAAAAAAAAATCTTTAGAAACTAAAGATGTCATTTTACATTCATGTTCACATGAAAATTTCTTGCATTAAACATTTTTACATGGACTCCCAAGTTGTTACTTCTTTTTAGCCACACAAAGAGAGTCTTCTGTATCCATATGTGCTTCTTCAACTGGCTGCAGTGAGGACACCTGGTACTCTGGGTGCAGATGACATCCTCTGAAACAAAAGCTAACAGTTAACAACAGTGCTGGCTGAAAGAGTCAGCCCAGCAGCCCCACCGCAGCTTGCTGTGCCCGGCAGGAGGAGGGGGTCCAGTCCACAAAGTTGCTCCATCCTTCAGCTGCTGACAGGGTGTTCTCACAGGAGTGTGGAGAACACAGCTAATGGTGCCCACAAACAGAAAACGGGGCCCAAGGTCACTCTGCAGCATTGTCTTGGGACATTACCCAGTTTGGGGACAGCCCTACAAGGCTCCTCTTAGTTTAGGCTTGATGAGAGTGTATAAAGAGAGACAGGAAGCTGCCCCTAGGAAACCTCCATTGAGACAACAGTTTTAAATCCTTCTGCTGTTGATCACACAAGGCATCATTTGCATGAGATGCTTGTGCATCAAGTCCACATGCGCACATAAAGTTATTCCCTAATTTTCCCAAAGTAGATTAATTCATATATTTTCAGAACAGAAAAAATAATTTAGTCATAAGGACTCCCTGAGAACTGCACCAAGTGACTCCAGCTGAGCCAGCAAGCGTGTTTGAGGAAGTCACCCAACAGGTGGGAGCAGAACCTTAGAGCAGGGCTGGTATCAAGAGGGGATGGAAGCAGATGATAGATGGGAACCACAAGCCTGCCCAGAGCACTTCTCAGAAAGAAGCAGGGCAATTGATCATAGGGCAGGGACTTTCAGCATGAACCAACGCCCAGGGCTACTTATCATATACTCCTTATCATGCTTGAATCACAAGCTCAGTGGGGCAAGCCCTGTAATCCCCCGAATAATGTCAGTACACTGCTCCTGCTCATCAGTTAAGCAATAAATATAGCAAGTTATAATGAAGGCACTAGTATTTGCATATCAAGATACCCAGCAAGCCAAAGCCAGAATTGAAAAAGTAATGTAACACGTGATGCTCTACCACAGAAGTCAGCTAGAGCTCCATAATGTCCTCTGAGTCTTGGGAACATTCATCTAAACCCAGTGGTCACACTTCTCTGCTGGGGGGTTACACAAAGGCTGGCGAAGTGGCCAGTGTGGCTTTCTCTCAGCCCAAAGCCTTTGGCAGGGGTTGAGTCTGGCTGAATCTCACCACTGCCAGATCTCCGAGCAGGTTCTGCAATCTTCTGACAGAAGCACCTTCTCCTGAACCACATGCAGACAAACGCGCCTCTTCCTTTCGTGTACTCCACCTCTTTCCTTCTCTAAAACTAATGGGCCAGAATTAAGTCACACTTTTCCATCCTCATTTTCCTAGTTTTCTTTCCATAGCTTACTTTTCCATGCTACTGACCTTCTATCCCTCCATTCTACTCTCCTCTCTTCTGCTTCCCTCCCTTTCCCCCTCCCCCTGCTTTCTCTCCCTCTGCACTTTGTGAACTGCTGCTGCAGTGCTGAAGTCCAAAGTTCAGTAACTTGCTAAGCACACAGATAAATATGAACCTTGGAGAATTTACATTGCTCCAATGTAAACAGATAGCCAAGGGTCCCTTTATCAGCACTGGCTCAGGACAGTCGTGGGGGGTCTGAAGTGGCTCAATTTTGTATTTTGTTTTTTTTTGGGGGGTGTAAAGGCGGGAGGCTGTGCTGTGCCCACTCTCCTGACAGTCGAGCGTGTTACCTCAGGAACATGGTGTAGGGAAGCTGGAAGCAGGATAACCTGAAATTCAAATCCAAGAGACACCAGCCTGAAGACCATGGTCTCGAAGCTGAGTCATCTCCAAGCGGAGCTGCTGGGAGCGCTGCTGGAGTCGGGGCTAACCAAGGAGACCCTGATCAAGGCGTTGAGCGAAGTGGAACCCTACGTGCTCCAGAGTGAAAGTCAGCGTGCTATCAATGCCCTCCAGACAGAGAAAGGGGAACCCTGTCCCGACATCTCCAACCTCCCCAACGGAATGGGGGAGTCCAGGTTATCGGAAGATGAAACCTCTGATGACGGGGAGGAATTTACCCCTCCAATAATGAAGGAGCTGGAAAACTTGAGCCCTGAGGAGGCTGCTCACCAGAAGGCTGTGGTGGACAGACTATTACAGTAAGGACAGATTTGCTGCTCCTCTTTGCTGCTTTCTTGCACCCTCCCTCTAAATCTCTTTTCCTTTCCCCTTTTGCTCAGTGTCCCCGGAATTCACAGTTGATCTAGCTGCATCCATGCCAGGACTAATAGCCCCCAAACACCCCCAAATTCTTTATAAATGCTCAAACTTTCCTTTCATCTCACTTAAAATGCATGAGGGGAGACATGGAGCATGAATACGTGTTTGTTGTGCTTATATCCTGAGGCTTTAGATTAGTCTGAGGCCTGTTTAACTTGCTTCTCTCCGACTGAATGTTAGTTTTTAGGATTTTAATTTTTAATAGGATTCACAATTTCACTCATTAGAAAAAGAAAAAAAAAATAAAGAAAATATCTGGTCACTCTTAACTGGTGCTATATTTGCTTGAGGATGTATGGTGAAGTTATAATATTTCCCTGCTATATTTAAGGAGATTAATATTGTTCATTTCACTGGATTTTGCTATAGATTATTGGCCAAAGACAACCAAGAGAACATGTTCTTGTCATTCTTGTGAGTGCAAAGTTCTCCTGACTTCAGTGGGGATTTTTCTTGTAGAAAGTGCATACACCAAATACATGCAGAAGTTAAAACCTGGGCAGAACCCTCTGCTTCTACCATCCACTGCCTGTCACAAGTACATATGCAGCAACAATTACAGGTTTTACTGCCACAAAAATCTGCCTTTGCATACAAGCATTTCTGAGATCCAAAGACAGGAAAAGCTCCCTGAACCAATAAGCCTCATGACAGACTCAGAGAAACATTCACCAGGATTCCCATTTGGGATTCTTGCTGAGATATAATTCCCCTGTCCAAGCAAGGATCAGGTTCATCTAACCAATCTATCAAAACAGAACCAGATTCTTGCCTGTCTGTTTTGGGGGTATTTTGAAATTACAAGCTGATAGAAGCCAAAAAGATGTAGCAACATCCTGCACTTAAAATCTTCAGTAAAACTAAAATCCACCTAGAGAATTCCTCAGACTTTCTGATCACTCCCTTTCACATGCAAAGGAAATTAACATAAAATGTAACAACAAGAAGCAAACATCAAATCCCACCACAAAAGGCCTGAGCTAGAAAAACAGCATGGCAAGGGCTAGCATTCACTGTAAATACTGAGGAGAAGAAAGCTCACTCGTAGATTGAGTCAATGACTCTGCAGTACCCAACAGAGGAAAATTCACTGAATCAGCTCTTACCTGGGTGGGGAAAGCATTCCCAGTAATTCAGTCTTCTTTCTGGGCCAGTCTCTCATGTCTCTCATCTCTTCCCCACTTCCCACTCTGTCACAACTTTTAGTCTCCTCTGTTCTCTTCACCTCTCCCATTTCTTTCATATATTTCCCTTCTCACTTTTGTCTCTGCTGCTACTCCTCCCATTTTGTTGTCATCTTGGCTATTTCTTTCTCTCCCTTCCACTCTTTTTCTTCCCCTCATCCTTGTCTCCTTCTCATCTTCCTGAGTCTGCGTACAGGTCTTGGGGTAGTTTGAGCCCAGTGGCACCGGGCGGGCCCTGGCTAGTTACTAATTATCCAATGGCTTTATTATTTCTCTTTTGTTTTATAAATTTATAGATGAAAAGACCCTGATAAGCTTTTTGATCATTAACTTCCGATGGTTTATCAGGTATCTCTCCACAAAGCAAGCCATGGAAGTTGGGAGAAGAGCACCTAGCTTTGTCCCATTTTCCATAATGAATGGGTGAAGCAGGACTTAAGTGCCATCCACTGTGATCTAAGAACAGACACACGGATGGAGGGAATTCCTTCCTGCCACCCTCACTTCAGCATAAATTCTGGTTTCCAATCCTCCCTCCCTTTCTAGGAGCTTGCTGCCAAGTCTTTCTTGTGCTTACAACCAGCCTCAGCACAAGTGTCTAACCTCTCTTGCAAACCTGCGATGTTAATGTTTTCCAATGAACAGGCTCACACCTCTCTCCAGACAGCTGAGCAGCATTCCCATTTACAAATGGGAACTGAGGTACAGCGAGATTCTGTGATCTAAAACCCTAAGACAGCGCAGAAAGGACTGGGCAAGAACAAGGATCTCCTAAACCTCATATTGGGTCTTAATTGCAAAGCTTTATTCTGCAACATTTGAGTTTTCTTTCATCAGCCCCCCATACCACAGGAGAGAGCAATTCACTTCTGCTGTTGAGGACAGTATGAGGGGACCAGAAGCCTCAGTTTCAGTAAAAAAATTATGAGTATACTTATGGAGAAATATAATAGATCAAAGCTAGTCAAGGTAAAAAAAATAGTATGAAGTCTATATTGACAGGTTTCAAATTTCTGGTCAAAGATTTAAAAAAGCAGCTGTATGTCTGAGAATCTATTCAATGCATCTGAACCAGTATCAGGGTTTGATAATATGTAAGCAGTTGTAACCTACTAATAAACTTTTTTGTTTTTAAGAACAAACCTTTCCATTAATAGATGCCTAGAGATAATGTCCTTAAAATCATATTATAAATATTTTAAAACAGGGTAGAACCGTCTCTAATAGAAATCACTCCCAGAAACAGATAAAAGGCAGGCAGGCAAGAATCTCCATGCCCAGGGATTCCCAGTAAAACTTCAATGCTTGCAAAGCTATTTCAGCATCTACACAATGATTTCAAATCCAGAAACCAGGTGGAGACACTTCTGCCTTTAGGCAAAGCCTCTGTAGGCATTATTAACAACTCCTGATCTAATGCTGTAGACCACATTTTAACAGAAAGATTGACTTGTGGGCAGCTATTAGTGATAGAATAAAGTCTTTGCAGGACCTGCAGCCATTGCTTGTAAAGTAGAATCAGGAAAGTGTCAGTTGCTAAGCTTTCCAGGAGCTGGAAAGGTAAAAGATGACAGAACCAGGAGACCAAGTATGTCCTCACAGGACCACTAAAGTTGAAACCACAGTTTGGAAAGCACTAGTCAAAACTGAGTAAAACAGGACGTAGAGAAGATAGACTCTCACAACTAGGTATACCTGTGGCATTGATTAGATTTTTGTCACTACAGGGGAAAAAAAAAAAAAAAGCTAAAAGGCAGCTCAGACAAAGGCTTCCCTAGTGAGGAATTAACATCACTTCATTTTGTCCTTTAATCTGTCTCACTGATCTTCCACAGATTTACAGTTTGAATAACAGCATTCTTTCCCAATCACTCCCCACAGAAAACAAATTGCATCTATGATAAAGAATAAATAACTCAGTAGGTAGATGGAGCTGTGTGGAGTAGTTCCCAGATAGTCTCCAGAGTAGAGAGACTACCTTGGGGGAAGGGATAGATCATACTACCACAGGTACAGCAAATGGAGAGAGGTAGAGCAACAATTCACCTGTAGGGCAAGGGGTGAAATTCCACTAGGAAAGAGAGAAATTGAGATAAGCAATAGATTTCCCCTGGAGGCAGGGATAAAAGCATGTTTTCCATGAGGAAAAAAGAAAACAGATATAACGATAAAGGTTCAGTCTTTTCCCCATAAAAGCAGTGTCTTAGAATGGCTCTAGCTGGGGAATCTGAAGATGAAGCTGCCACACCCCTTTCATTTCCACATATAAACCAAGATGAGGCAAACCAGGCCAAGTTCAATAGAAAGGAACCCTGCCAGGATGGTCTTACCTTCCCTGCTCTCTGCCTAGCCCGGCTCCAGGCTGTGCACTGACATCAGTGAGGGTTGTCTAGCAGGCTCCAGAGGAAAGGGCCAGAGGATGGTCCTGAGTACTTCACAGCTCTGAACCTCTCTTTAAGCAAGCTCTGGTCCAAAGCAGCAATTCAGAACCCACCTCAGGGGAATGAAGACTTCTCTTTCCTGATAACAAGAAAGAAGAAAAGGAGAGACACAGAGAATGAGGAAGAGAAGAAAGAAACAAGGGGAAAAGAAAAGTCAGGAAGAGTGAAGGAGGGAGAAGGTCCCCTGAATGTTACATCTCCAGCTCTCTGGAATGGGTTTTCTTTAATGCTAACAACTTGATATTTACTTTCCATTTAAATTTGAGATGTTGCTATAAATTATCAACCAGCCTCTTGTTCCCTTTGAGTTTATAACTAACTACCTGGGTTACTTATTGTTCAGGTAACAAAAGGGAGGTGAAAACGCCCTTAAAAAGTGACCTCAGAACTAAGAAAATGGGAAGCTGGCATGGAGAGAAGACCCAGGCCCCTGTGGTTGAGATAAGCCAGGAAGAGGGGCTATGCTTAGACAGCAATAGGCAACTGACAGCAGGAGAGCAAGACTTAAAAGTAAAAACTGTGAGAGAATAATTTGGAGACAGAGATTAGACCTTGGAGAACAAGAAAGGAATTGGGAGACAGCTTCCATCTAGGAAGAAAGGGAAGCTAAAGAGCAGAAGACAGTCTTGCAGATAGAGAAGGAAAGCCTGAGCAAAGCAGACCCATTTCCACAGTTCTGACTCACTGAAGTAATTGAGACTTTAGTGCAGCTACAAACAGGAGAACTAGGTTTAGGGTGAAATCCTACCCTCTGACAGTCAATGACAATCTTACCGTCAGTGAAAGAGCAAAGGTTTAAACTTGTGATGTCTTAGTCAATGGTGAAGGCTCTGAAAGTGGAACTATGTATTCGGGCAATGGTTCATGCCAGGGTTCACCTGACCAACTGCCATCACTTGTTCTGTGACGGAGCTCTGGGCCTAAAGAAATTGCTGCATTGACATTACCACCTGTGCTTTGACAACATACAGAGTAGCTAGGACTTCATATAACTGTCCTATGAAATCATACTGTACGAAGATACTCCTGCACTGTTTTGCCTCACAAAGCTCCCTGCTTCATCACAAAAGACAACAGAAAAACCACAGGGCTTTAACCACAGCAAGAAGAGACTCACAGATACTTCCTGCTTTATTCCTACCACAAAGAAGTGAGGATCTTGACAGGGGAGATAAGAGTGACTCACGATTGGGGTGCAGGAAGGAGATCAACATTTAACAGAGGTTTCCATCAGTGGTAACACAGCCCTTCCTCTTCTCATCTGAGCCAGAACTCAAATCTAAGAGATGAGAGCTTCCAGGTCAGAGCCTTTTCTCCTTTGTATAGGGACTTGTATAACAAATACAGGGTGCAGGTGCTGGCCAGACTATCACAGATACTAAGGGAGGAGACTGTTCCTTGGTTTGGACAGCAGGAAAAAAGAAAAACACACTGAGGAAAGCAAAGCTTTCGTAAATTCACCCCAATTTGAGGCTTTTGAAAGACAAAGATGGTTAAGAAGGTAGAAAATAGAAGCCTCTATGTAGCAAGCATCCCATTATAAAAGAGGAACAAATGTTCCTATTTGAGGAAAGCAGGTTCTTCAGAAAGCTGTAACTGACACCGATTCTGTCACACTTTAACTGCAGCAGAGCTTGCTCCTTGGACTATCCAGCCACTGGGAGAGAGGCAGCAGGGGAAGAGAGATAAGGGTGTTTGTACTGGGAGAACAGGTGTGGACTTTGTCCTCCTTATCACTTCACAGCCTCTGGTAACCTCCTGAGTCAACAAAGCAATGAACAGTGCAGTTGTTACCTGTTGCTCAGACCTGTGTATTCTTGTGACACTTTCTGCACCAATCCCAGGTACCCCTCCCCAACCATTGCTCCTTTAGTTGGATGTGACACCAGTGTATTTCTACAGCATGCAGTCATTTCACAGAGGAAGCACAGAAGGATGCTCTTTGTTAAAAGTGAACCAGAGGCTTTTCTGTAGAGAGGCTGCTGTGGTGTTTGGATCTAGACTGTCTGGTTTCATATTTTTACTGTGATTTTCAGCTCTTGTGAAATCAATACACACTATTAAGTCATAGTCACGTTTTCTCTATTTACCTTAGGAACTTTCATGGATATTCTAATTGGAGATCTTAAAACCCAGAGATTCACATTGATTATGAAATCCCAAATCAGATTATCTTGCCAAGGTTGTGTAAGTAGGTCTCAAATAGGTCTATTCCCTTAGCTGTTACCACTAAGGAAGGTGGTGATAAGAGGAATTAGTGGTGTGCCTGTTGTTCTTTATTGCATTTAGAAGCTTTGAGTGGATCTAGATATGAATCAGTGTGTTTGAATAACATGTAGCAAATGTGCAAGCACGTAATTCTGGATGGCTTGGTGTATACATATGCATATATAGCCATCACATCACAGTATAATGACAACCTGTTTTCATTTCCTGAATCATTGCAAGGCAACCCAGTCTGAACCAGAATCAGGACATGAGCTAGGTTCAGCCTAATATCACAATGCATCTGTTCTGGAAGATTAAGTAGACCTACCCAAAGCACCTATGCCTTAAAGAAGGAGGAATTGAGAAGAAAACTTACGTACAGAAAAGGAAGAGAGAGGTCAACTCTAAAAAACAAAACAAAACCAACCAAAAAAAACCCCAGATCTGTAGGCATAAAACATCTAAGTGAATACTGAAATGCATCATCACTTCCCTCATACCATTTCTCACTAGGAGCAGAAACGCTTTACATCCACATTACTTTCCAGCAGAAAAGTCCATTCCTTGCTCACATCACTGGTCAGCACTTTGTCATTTACAGATGACAACAGCCTAGACAGATCAGCCCAAAACCTTGTATACAAATGAGCACAGACAGCAAAGAGTATGGCCATGCACTGGGAAATTCCCTTGCTAACCAGAGTCCCCTTCTAAGAGGAGATCAAAGGGCCCACAGAGAACAATTTATAAGAAGCTAGTGCTGTATCTTTTGCACTTAATTTCTAACACCATGCAGTTTTTACCCTGAATGCAGAGTCAAAACTGAACAAGGTACCAGAGAGGAACACCCTTCCCTTACGCAGCCAGCTAACGTTCTGGCCTCCCCAAATGTGATGACTGACATGCAAGGTGCACCTCAGCAGGTACTAGTGCACTTCCTTAGAACCCAGGTCTGCTGAGTGCAGTTTGTTTGATCTCTCTCTCCTGAGAAGTGTTTTCTGCTCCTTCCAGAGAGGATCCCTGGCGAGTTGCAAAGATGGTGAAGTCTTACCTCCAGCAACACAACATCCCTCAGCGGGAGGTGGTAGATACTACTGGTCTGAACCAATCTCACCTCTCACAACACCTCAACAAGGGCACTCCCATGAAGACCCAAAAAAGGGCAGCCCTCTACACCTGGTATGTCCGCAAGCAACGAGAGGTGGCTCAGCGTAAGTATGGCAACAACTGTTCTCCTGTCTCAATTTCATAAAGGCCTCTGTTCTCCCTTGCTAATCCTTACTCCCTATTTTTATCAAGGAAAAATGGAAAGAAAAGCCACTTTCACTGGAAGCTTAGAGAAGTCTAGTTCAATATTCAGTGGTGAGGTGAACCAAAGAATACATGAAAAAACACTCCCTTGTGAAGCAGCCTGCAGTCACCCACCATTTGGCTAGAAAGAAGCAAATTAATACTCTCCATTTGCATTTAGAGTTCCTCACCCATTCTCAGACTAAAGTAATGTAGCAGACAGATGACAGACAGAATTTTTGCCTGAGAATGACACTTTTGTGATTTCACCTAAAGCAACAGTTCCTCTAGCTGCAAAAAGCATTAAGTTACTGTACTCCGTGCAAAAAGAAACCACTGTGGGCTAACGGCCTCACACCTTCTAAGCCCCTTCATTACAGGTACCCGCTGGGAGCCCACCCCTGCAGCATGCACTTCTACATTCATAAGCCCGTCTGGAATCTGTCTTACTTGATTTTGTACTAGTGGGTAACAAGTCAAATGAGACATTTGGCCTTTGGATGGTTTTGGAAAGCAGGACTCCAGTCATACTTAAACTCAGCTGCATTTGCTTTCACTACTCTAAGGTGGGAGCACAGATGCAATGCATGCAAAAGAAGGACAGGTAAATATGGCCTGCTAGGAACATCTTATCAGTTTTAGCAGATCATGGAACTTTATTTCAACTCCATTTAGATTCAGCCCTCCATCTTGTATGAAATATTTTCCAAAGGTAAGCTGCATTGGGCTTGCTAGGCACCCAAACAGACCAAACTATCAGAAATGCTTCCAGAAAGCAAATTCCCTTGCCCCTTTGTGCCTGCAGAATTCACACATGCTGGCCAAGGTATCCTGACAGAGGAGCCCATGGGAGATGACCTACCCACCAAGAAGGGAAGAAGAAACCGCTTTAAGTGGGGTCCTGCCTCACAACAGATCCTGTTCCAAGCCTATGAGAGACAGAAAAACCCCAGCAAAGAAGAGAGAGAGGCACTGGTAGAAGAGTGCAACAGGTAAAGATGGGTGTCTGGCTTTGAGGAAGAGGCGCACAGCAGGGCCTCTGTTCCTCCCACAAGAGGCAGGCTAATGGTACAGCAGTGGATGTCACCACTGACACCAGCCACGTTTGAATGAAATGTCACAGCTGAGCATTCACTGTCCACAAAGGATCAGTAATGCCTCATGTCTTGCTATACCTGGCAGGATCCTTCCACACAGTGCCAGACCACAGCCACTTTGGGGCTAAGAACTTACTCTGTCCCTCTGACTAAGCCTGGCTCAGCAAAGCTCTCCTTGTTCTTTCCCTCAACAGAGCAGAGTGTATTCAGAGAGGTGTTTCTCCATCTCAGGCCCAAGGACTGGGCTCAAACCTGGTGACAGAGGTCAGAGTTTACAACTGGTTTGCCAATCGCAGGAAGGAGGAGGCTTTCCGGCACAAGCTGGCCATGGACACCTTCAGCGGACCACAGCCCACCTCTGCTCCCCCTCTAACTCCTCACAACTCCTCCTCCCTCCAGCCACCGTCTGCTCTCTCACCCAGCAAAGTTCATGGTAAGGAGCATCCAGAGGGAGATCTGAAAGAGGCATGGGTGAACCTACCCGAACTCAGTCACTAAAACTACCTCCCAAGTCCACCCCTTTAGGAGGTGAATCTACAGACAGAAAAAGAAGACTTGCTACAAGGAAAGAGCACGAGAGAGACCATATGTGAGTGAGGAGAGTGGCTAGAGTAACAAGGGTGACAAAGTTCAGTAACAAAACTTTCAGCCAAATCTCCTCACTTACTCTTTGCCATCCTGCACTCCCTCACAGCTGGCAGGAAGTAATCCCCTTCCAAGGAGTCATCCACTGGCTGCCATCACAAGTCAGTTCTGTATCCTTTCACTCATGTGTATCACCTACTCAGTTCAATACATATCAGCACCATCAGACTTCATGACTGAGTTTTAAGGCATCAGGAAAGGTAATTTTCCATCCAAAAGAGCAGATCTTTTTCAGCTCTGTAGGCCATCTGGGAAGAGATGACCTCAGTGAGATTGTCTCCTCTCTATACCCATATCCAAATAGGAGGTTTCTAGTGAACCCTGCTTGCTCCCTCCAGAACACAGAGCCATACCTTAAAGTCAGTATTTAAGGAAACAGCTGCACCAAGTTAGAGGAAAGCCAGGGCAGGGTGGCAAGAAAGCCGGTTCTCCTGGTTCCCCTACTACCCACCTTGTCTCTGTCTCAAACATCTAAAGGCAAGTGCCTGCAAAGGAAACTGAATTTAGTGCTTGCCAAAGTTACTCAGTTTCTCATTTTTGACAACCAGTTTCCTTCCTGTTGTGATGCAGGAGTGAGGTACAACCAGCAGCCAGCCAGCGAGGCAGAGTCCTCCAGCAGCAACCACCATGGGAACAGCTCCATGGTGACCACCCAAACCATCCTGCATCAGGTTTCTCCCCCTGGACTGGAGCCCAGCCAGAACCTACTGAGCACAGACACTAAGCTGGTAAGTGTCGTATACTTAAGTTCTGGTGCCTGGAGGACATCAGGTCTTCTCCCTGTAGTCACAACATGGACTATTCAGAAGTAGTTTTTTCTAGAATACTCTTAAAACCAACATCTTATAGAGAAGTCACTTTGCACTGACCATGTAACATAAGCAGTTCCAAGTGCCCTCTAGACTGCTGGTGATTGCAGGTATTAGATCAAAACTGTCTATTCTGAGAAAACAGAGCTCAAGGTATGACATGATTTCCTTCTTCCCAGGAAACCCCGTTCTCTCCTCCTTTCCCCAGCAATATTCTCATCTCCAACTCTCATTTGAGCTCTACACATCAAGATATTTGATCAGACACCAATGAAATTAACAGAACAGAGACCCATTCTTAGACCTATATTACCTGTAAAAATTAAGCCCAACAGTCTGTACGCAGCAGATATCATTGAGACATGGACCACGTATCTAGATTGTAGCAATCTGCCTTCTCAAAGTAAATTTCCTTTTGAGATTTGACTACACCTTTTCCCACATAATTAACAATGAAGCATTAGAACTACATGACTGATTGTTTTCAGTTTGTACATATACCCTTGCTTACAGGGAACTAGTTGGTAGAAGTTTGCATTAGTGCATACTGGCCTGAGGCGAAGTTAAATTCACTAGAAACTAGTATGATTTAAATCTTGTCTGTCACTTACTGGCTTTCTGGTCTCTTCCTGAAAAAAAAGTCTTTCATGAGATGCTGAAAGTCTTCTACAGCTGTCTTATAAATATATATCAAAGTGATTTGTCCCACGTTAAACCTGTTGGTGCTTACTCTTACTTAAGATTCCTTACAGCTTTTTGTCTGAAGAGAGAAAAAAAAGTATATTATAAAGCATTGAACTTTCTCCATCAGCCAAATGATTAGAATGCTTTTTTGCTGTTCCACAGTACTTCAACTACAGGTCTCTAAAGGGCCATGCAAACTCAAAATCCCATTAGAGCATAGACACAGGTTATATGGTTCATTTTAGAAGCTGAGAAAACAGTCAGGTTATTAAATTTCTGACTCAAGGACAGACTGAATCAGCAAGATACATGAGCACAGAACAGTTCTATCTAACAGGTAGTCTTCCTCACTAACAGCAGGGAACGGCCACATAACACTCCCTAAAGAACATGCTGTATGAGAAAAAAAGTCTAAGGAAGTTTTTCAGCAACTTTAAAATTTGAATCCAAAAACTCACTGGCCACTAAAAGACACTTGCTGGGAGAAAGGAAAGTTACAGGCATTTCTCAGAAGAGGTGAACAAGAAAAGAGGAACTCCTGGATTCTGTGCTGGTTTCCCTATAGAGAATGCAGAGGGACTAATCTCATTCTTGTTCGTAAAACACTTACGATTTCTTAAATGTGAAAGAACTAAACCAGCAAGGATTTAGTCTTAGTATTTCAACAGCTGACCTTTGCTAGTTAATTGATGAGCACAGGGAAACTGCAGACAAGCAAATGTGAAGTCTTTCTAGTTACCAAGGGGTCAGAGCAGTCAGGAAAAGGGAGAAGGACATTTATCACAGCTCTGGGACCCGCCACGCTCAATGTGCTGCAGATGGCGTTTTCATGGTCCTTCTTTCACACAGGTCTCAGCTCCTGGAGGAACTCTCCCTCCTGTCAGCACTCTGACTGCCTTGCACAGCCTAGAGCAAAATCCACATCCATTGAGCCAGCAAACTCAGAACCTTATCATGGCATCGCTGCCAGGCGTTATGGCAATTGGAGCTGGTGAAACCTCATCCCTGGCACCAGCATTCACCAACACAGGTGCCTCCACCCTGGTGATAGGTGAGTAGTGTTCTGTAATGGCTCTGCTTATCAGGATTCAGATGAAGAGCTACCTGTAATTTTTAGAATTACCTGCCTCATTTTCAGAGACAAAAGCACTAAGTTGGCAGCAATGGTCACCTGGGGAAATTGTCACAAACACTAAGGATCTTCAGCAGCACTTTGAAAGTACCAGTGGAATTAAGGGACAGATGTTCCTTATTCATGTTCACACAAATCCACATCTTAAGAGCAAGGGACTTCTGCAATCTATTCCTATGCCAATATTTTGTTTTGCTGCTCTGCATCTTCCCAAATATAAATGTAATACTTCTTTAAAACCATGAAAATTGAAGCATGTTCACAGTGCTTAAAAGACAAAACATCCTGTTCTATTTCCTGCAAACAGCAGCATATGCCTTTGGAATCCACAGCAATACTTACTTTTTTTTTTTTAAATAGATTTTTCACTCTGACATCTTTTCTGGACTTGTAGAGATTTCTTTTCATTCCAAGACTAGTCTACTGCCAAAGTGCATCTCATTAGGTAAAGGAAAATAAAATGTATACTCTCCTCTTACACTTTCTTCCCAGGAAAAAAGAGGCCTTATTTTGTTCCATGGTGACAGCTGTGAACTAATTCCCATTTCCTCATTTATACCCAAGATTATGATACAGACTCTAATTCTGTGCAAACAAAAATAAATTGCTGATTTATAGGAACAGGGTCTGGACAGTTGTGAGAAATGGGTAGTAATGTGTGAAACCTTCTACCTCTTCCTCACTGGTCCAAATTCCATAATTTGGCAGTCCAAGCTAAATGAGTTTAAAGTCCATTCCATGTGGCTGGACAGCTATAGCATAATTTCCTCTGTTGCCAACAGCTTTGTAAGAAAAGAATAAAATGAACTGGATACCGAGGCTCTGAGCAAGGCCTTCCCAGTGGAACTCTGTACCAGGCTATCACTAAACTGGAAGGTGATCTATACTGGCACACAAGGATGTGTGCAGGAACACACTGGAAATCAGAGGTGGTTTTATGGTACCTGTCTACACTGTATATTTTGCACACTCCCACTTTTTTACAGGCATGAAATCTATTCTTAAACACAGATAACAAATAGAACACCTGAAAAGCAGGATCCAAAAAATTACCCTGCAACAACAAACCTGCCATGATGACTATTTCTGACAGCCCTACTGCAGAGTGTCACACATCCCATAGTGTGTGACACTACTGTCATCAGTCCTTGTTTTTCAGGCCTGGCCTCAACCCAGCCCCAGAGCGTACCTGTAATAAACAGCATGGGGAGCAGCCTCACTACCCTGCAGCCTGTCCAGTTCTCCCAGCAACTGCACCCATCCTACCAGCAGCCCCTCATGCAGCAAGTCCAGAGCCACATCAACCAGAGCCCCTTCATGGCTACCATGGCCCAGATACAGAACCCTCACGGTAAGAACATGGACTCATTTGCTCAAGCAAACAAACCAACCAACCCGCTCTGTTCTGGAGCATTTGCTGGGTCCTTGGGCTTGTAGCACTCCATTTTCCTCTTCTATTATTATTTCTCTAATTATGAAATTATTTTTCTATTGCATTCATCTCCCTGTCCCTCCATCCCACCATTTCAGAGACAGACAACAGATCCACATGCATGAGGAAAACACCTCAGCCAAAGTAGTCTCAGGCAAAGCTCCAGCATCCACATGACCTTGTTTTCTTTCATGCACAGCTCTCTACGGCCCCAAGTCTGAAGTGGCCCAATACACACATACAGGCCTCTTACCACAAACCATGGTGATAACAGATACAGCCAATCTCAGCGCCCTGACTAACCTGACACCAACTAAACAGGTAACAGCCTTTAGCACATGCCTTTGTTCCCCCACCTTAGAACTGCACTAGTCTGCAGGGAGCTCCTTGCTTGTCAAAGAGGTGTTGGGTGTGTGGTCTATGCCATCCCAGCAGGATGATCTTTCTTATCTCCTCACCTTGCTGGTACCAGCTGCAATATTGGAGGCATTAGAGCAAGCTCTTCACTACATCATTAAGGAGGATTTAATCTCCTTGGAAACAGCACCTGCTCACTGTTCTCTGTTAGAAGGGATGTCAAAACCAGGCACTGGTAACTTTCTTTTCTCTAGGCATTCACATCTGACTCAGAGACTCACACAGAGTCTGGGATGCACACGCCAGTGTCACAGGCACCAACGATACATTTACAGAACCAAGACACAACCATCCAGCACCTTCAGCCAGGCCCTCGCCTCACCTCCAGCCCTGCTGGTAAGAGCAGCAGCCACTATTATCTTAAACCACATACTGCCTAGTTTCTATCGCCAACACTGTAAAATTCAGTTAGAAAGTGATAACTGGGACTCACTATTCTCTAAGGGGGCCCTAGCAGTGTCTGGGGGTGTTTGAAAGACAAGGAAAAGGTTCAAAGCACAGTCTGTATAAGGCCAGAGTGTGGAAATGGGACCCTTCTTCAGAATCCAGAGTAAAATAACCTTAAAAATATTGACAAAATCAGTGGCCACAAGTATCCAGTCCCCTGGGCAGCTTTCAGGGCTGAAAAGCCCAAGACTCCCTCACAAAGTGACTCCAGTTGGATGTTCTGAGTTCTAAGAGAAGAACTAGGACATTCACAATCAACTAGAATCCTCAGAACTGAAATCTCTGAAGGTTGCAGCCCTCTGTTTTCAGACCAGCTGTGAACCTAAGCTAGGTATGTAATGGCACATGAAACAGAAGAAGGACTTACACCAGGTGAGGTCAGTCATGCTAGAAATATGTGTGCAGTGAAAATTTGTACTTAACTTCTGCCTGTGCCTTTGACAGTGTCCTCCAGCAGCCTGGTGCTGTACCAAAGCTCTGACTCTGCCAACAGCCACAGTCAGCTGCTGCCATCCACTCACAATGTCATTGAGACCTTCATCTCCACGCAGATGGCATCCTCCACTCAATAATCAAGACAACTAGCTCAAGAGTGACTGCCATGACCAACCTGTCAGGTGCAACTCCAACTGTGTTTGCCGTCACTGTCACCACTGCCTTCCCTGGGAAGGAAAGGCTGCTGCGCTCAGCTGACCTCCAGCCCCTACTGACTCAAACAAATCCCCTATTCAGCTGCCTCCGTGAGAAAAGATGTCTCCGGCTTATGACAGAAGCCATGGAAAGGTGATGCTGGCACTGCTAATAATCTGTCCCACAGAAAAAACAAGCAAACCAAATGCCACGAGCCAGCCTAGAATGACCAGGCATCCTTTTATGGCTGTCCAAGAAGGAATCCCATCAAGATAGGGATCTGAATACAATATGGCAAAAATTCCAGGGCGTGGATGGGACTTTCATTCTGCTCAGCCTTCATCAAGCTGGGCCTGTACAAACCTGCCAACACCAGGCTAAGCCATGCAGGAAAGAGCAAAGCTAAGCTGCCAAAGAAGGGACACCACCTTTAAAACACTCACCTCCTTTGCTGTATAGAAGCACCAGTTGGAACTATGAGAAATAATATTGTCTTGGAGGCAAGAGTGAGAGAATCTGGTTCCTGACTTTGCAACAAAAATCACCAAGAAACAGATTCAGAAACAGCTTGGCACAAACCTGTCAGTATAGGATCACTGACTACAAGCTACAATTCCTTTAATTAACGACAAAAAATAGGAAACATTCTCAGTTAAAAATGACCTGCCCTAAAATCATGCTATCCTAGTGGAAATGGCTTGGTTATTTTTGAAATAGCTCTGCTTTGTTTTAAATGCAGAAATTAAAGTATAACAGCAGCAAAGAGATTCCAGTTCTCTACATTAACCATGTGGATTCTCATCTTGTGAGTCTTGCTGAATGAGCTGGGACATGGCATTCTGCCTGACACTGCCTAGCACCTGGGAGGCTCCCATGCTCCACACAGAGCAGCAGTTCCTTCAGGTGTTCTCTAGAAAGATGTCAGCTTGGACTCATTTTACAGAATGCAGTTCATTCTTTGCTTCCCTGTAGGCTGGCTTCTGTAGCTCTTGATATGCAAATAATTACCCTGGGGTCTAAGGGTCTTACTTGCACTAAGTGAAGGTTTTTAGCCCTGAGGATCTACTTATAATTCCTCTTCTATTTCTCTATTTACTGTCAATGTTCACACCACTGATATGTCACTAGCCAGATATGAAAAAAACCCCAATTAACAAGCTTTTGTCTTTGTGACCAAAACAGCTATTCTTTCAACTGTGAAATGGATGAAAGTCCTTGACACTAGAATGTGCTCAAAACTTTTTAAAAGTTAGATAAAAGGGAGAATTAAAGAAGAAAAAGCCTAACAATGAACTCTTCAGTTATCATATTTGGAAATTTCAAAACTGCAGACGTCCATTAGAGTTTTTATTGGTAAGAGCTTCCTCTAGATACCATCAACCATCAGAGACTAATTTCACTAACCAGATTCTCCAAGGAATTTTATCCTAGAATTGTTTCCTAATCTTCCATGTGCATCAGTTGCAAATACATATAACTTCCAGTTAACATAAAAATAATCATCATAAAGCAAGTCAAAAGGTAATGTTTAGACCACTATGCATTTGAAACCCCAGGTGCTAGCTTCACTATATTTAACTGCCCATAAGACAAATAACTTCTGCTGGAACATTTAGTTAGATTATAAGCCAATTTTCTACTTAGCTTTTCCATTTTTGGATGCCAACTGTGGTTTACTGATTAGAAAACAGCAAAGATCTTACAGTAGGAAAAAAGAATATCTTGGGTTTTCCCATGCTCAAGAGAGTAGCAGTTCATTATTTTGGTTCCTCTAATCTGGTTTTCTGGTCTCCTGAAGAAGGCAAATAAACTAGAACTACTGGAATCTTAAAAATAGAAATAGAAAAACAGAAGAAGAGTATTTATCCAATAAAAGGTCATTTCCTGAAATACTGGAACTGAAGTATAAACAGACTAAGAGCCATACAGAAAACTACCAAAACCCACTGTATTTCAGAGGGACTAAAGTCAGAATCAACCTAAATAAGGAGTGAAACACAGCAACCTTAGGTTAGGCTTAAGTCCTTCCTGTAGCAATTTCATAGCATTGATCACCAAGCAACTAAAGAGCCATCTTCAGCCATCTTTATCTGTGCTGGGGGAGCCATGTGAATGCAGCAAGAGAGGCACTGTTGTACAAAACCTGCCAAATTAAATAAGTCTAATAGTGTAGTAGAATTTAATAACAACAAATGCCATGAAAAAAAAAAAACTATACATGAAAAGAAATTTCAATGGACACAACCTAAACAGAACTACCTATTTATAACCACCCTGAAATACGCTCACTGCACGCATTGTTTACATGCAGGGGCCCTGGAGAGGTGCAGATTACAGAGGGATTAGTAACATGGCAGGTTTCAACAACAGATTGTTATGATGACGACAGGAAAAAAGATAAGGGGGCCCTGATATCTGACAGGATGCTTTTGATAAATGAGTCTCCCACAGGCTGGAGCTATTCTTAGAATGCATCTAGGAGGAGGCAAAGAGAAAAAGTTGATCACCTGTTGCCATGTAAACCAAATTCAATTCATCTTATACTTTCTCCAGGACACAAGATCTGGCTTCATGATGGGAAGGACAGACCAGGAGGGATGCAGTTATGATTACATCCTCTGTCACACAAGTCTGTGCGCATATTTAATCCTTTTAGGCTAGGTCTGCATAAGCAGCAGCACAGTGTGCTAGGAGAACAATGTTCCCTTCCCCGAGGGATGCCAACAACATAGGAAGTCACTTAATTAGACTCTCAGGCCACTGAGCTTTTAGAACAGAAGCTTTGCCAATTAATTTTCCCTTATCTGCTGCCACTCTTTTTTTTCAGCATCCTTCATTCATCACAATCACCTGCCATTTGCAGAGCAAAGTCTTCATTCTCTTTTTTTCTTCTTTTTCTTCTTCACAACTCCTGGCAACACTGAGTTCTGTGTATGACTGCTGTCCTGTCTCTCATGCTGTCCATTTGCAGACACCAACCGTGGCAATTCTTTGCAGATCTGGTCACACTCTGTTGGGTCTATTATTTTCTCTTGAATATTGTTCTCTCCCCTAATTTTCTTTTTCTTCTTTTTTTTCTGGCTGTGCTCTACATAACCCTGACTCTGATCTCGGCTGGAATCCTGGAACAGTACAGGAAAAGCACTTTGCTTCAGAATGTCTGCAGCTGACACAGCAGCCTCCTGGTACCTTTGCCACTCTTGGTCACTGTCCATGTCACTGAAAAGGTAACAAAAGGAAAGGGAGTTATGTTACACTTTTGCCTTGAATTCACCCAAAGCAGAAACAGCAGAGCAATCTAAGATGAGAACACCTGATAAATACCCAGTGGCTCTGGGACTCCAATACCTAGAGTTAGCATTTAACCAGTTTGAAGGCCAAGGTGTTCTTTACACATACTAGAAGGGAAAGGAACATCTCATCTCCCACAGGCATTTCTAGTTCCCTGGCACTAAAAAAAAAGAAACAAAAAAATCTGATTTAGTCAAATATAGGAGTCAAATACATACTTCTCAAGCTCTTCAGCTTCTTATTCCCTTGTGAGAGTCACAACTGCCTCTGAAATGTGGGATTCAGTAATACTTGAGTAGCAAAGCAGCTGACACCTCACCTGGAGCTAGATGGCTGTCTCCTCCTTGCTGCAGGGCAAGGCTCTGATTTCCCAGAGTCTCCTGGGACAGAAGAAGAGAAGAGACGAAAACCTAAAATATGTAAAGGAGAATTTTAGCCACAACATAAAACAGAAGTGAAAGCAATCAACAGCAATTTCTCTAGGAAGCCTCACTGCTGTTATTGTATTGCTATAGAGCTTGACAGCAATTATTTGGGACTCTCTGGAAGGACTTAGGACACAGAGGTCACAGCTCCAAAGTAACAGCCTTCACAGATGCTAAAAGAAATTCTGTTACAAAGACTTATTAGTTAGTTGTGTGTACGACTGGCAAAAGACAGGATCCATCCCACTTGTCATCATTTAACTAACGATGTTGCAAAACAGTCACAATGGCCATGACAAGAACTCACCATCATCCGCAGAGTCAGACTGTTGCACAGAAGTTTGTGAAGGTCCTGATGAGTCCTTCAAGACAGTGATGAAACTAAACAGAAAACCCCAGTCAGATCATAGGGAGGTTTGTGCAAACTGAGATAGTTGGGTATTTCTAGGAAACAAGACTATAGGGAGATGTTACATAGCTTCTTACTTTTTTCTTAGTGAAGCTGTCTCACCTCCCTGCTCTCAGAGCAGACCATGCCTTCTCTCCTTAGCAATGCATGCCACAAGAATGACTTAAAAATAGCTAAAGCCAACTCAACACCACGAATTCTAGTTCTCCAGGGCCATATTTACACAATAAAAACAGAGGGAGCCTGTAGCAGGAACCCCCTTAGTTGCAGGATAAGGCTGTGAGACAATACACACACCAATATGGTTAACAGTCAAACTCCAATGTTTATTAGAAAAACAAGTCTCTATATATACTCGTGACAGCAAATCCGTATGTTGCTCTGGCGCATGCTCATTTCAAAAACTCATTCCTCTCGTCACTTTCAACAAGCACTACTAAGCGTGCACAACTGGTAGATAAATTTCTGCTTTGTTATTCTACAGATTCCTTTCTTATCTGTTTCTTCCCTAATGAGCAAAAATACTTTCACTTTTAGCCGTCATTAATCTAGACACCATTAGTCTTCTAACACAAGTGCATAATTAATTTAGACATCGTTGATCTTCTAACTTAAATGCTGATGACACTTTTACATTGTCAGTGACACAGACGGTTCGCGACCTGGCATACGCACCCACAGGAGCCCACTCAGAGGCATACTGCCAGCACAACCCTGAATCAGGTACTGGTTTGGGTTGTAAGAATAAATGAAAGTTTCTCATGCCAGCCTTTAAATTATAAACTGCTAAGGCACCCAGATTCTACAATTGCTCCCCACAACACATTCACCACAGAAGCAAATGGAGACAGGCAGTGCTGCACAGGAAGTCTTCACCAGAGGGGCACAGCACATGGACCAGGTTAGCTCACAGAATACTGGAAGCTTGCATTAAATACAGGAACGATGGAGACAATAGAAACATATTCTCTGTATTCACGCTGCTCTCAAATCTTGAATTTCCTGGTTTTAGCACACATGAGCATCAGTGTAGTTGACCCATAGAACAAACATTTTTAGTATTGCATGCCAATACCTGTCTAGCATTGCTCCCAGCTTCTTTGCAACATGTGCTCTGAACTCTGGTGTTGTCTGTAGCTCATTTCCATCCTCATCATGACTGTTCACCTCACGCCTGTTTAAAATAAGAATAATGATTATCTCTTTCCAGGCCAATAACATCTGGTGCTCTCATACAAGCAGGAGATAAGGGACTATAAAACCCCTAATCTCTAGTAATCAATTCATACTTGATAAGGAAGACTGCTAAGAAAGATGGAAAATAGCTCAGTAGTCACAGTTCAGTTTCTGAGAAAACTAAACATTATTTAGCCATCTCCATCACAGCTAGTAATTGGATGACTTTTCTCACTGAAGTAGCCTACAAAAGCAAATAAATTATGTCAGGATGGCCAATCTCTTGCATGTAGTTCCTGTGTATGTTGCCACAATTCATGCAAAACCTGACCCAGGAGAGAGGATTTTATTAAGTTGTCTGGCTGCCAACCTTTGAAACTGAGCCTACAGAAATGCTCTATCACTTCTGTTGCTAGGCTCTTAATTCAGGCATTGCTTTCCATCTGGTGAGCATTTGCCTTTGCAATTGCAACGGTTTTTGATGAGAAAGAAATTCTTTGTAAGATAACTGTACTAATTCCATCATGACACACTTGCAGAGTTGGGAGCTTCCTGACACTTGGAACTAGCACTGTAACTGACAGCAGTAATAAGTTTTCAACTTCTATATTCCACCGCTACTTAGAGGGATGAGACGTGTACTTGAAACACCTATGAGATTTTTCAGATTTAAGCATCATTTCAGATTATGGTTGGACTAATTCCTAAAACAGAATAGGCCCTTCCAGTCAGAAGTATCATAAGTGATTAAGTAAAACAAATACAGTATACATTAGGGTTTTTTTCTTCAGTGCAACAGAAGTCTGAAATCAGAAGCAAAAATACCTTAGGCTAGGCTGAGTGAGCTGTAATCGATCCTTTTTAAAGCCACCTGACAAAGGAAGAAGGCAAATTTAAAAGACCTGTGACCAGTAACTCTTTAATTCCCCTTCTGGCACATGTGATTTTATAGCGTAAAGAATCATGTCTGAAAGATAATCCACGCCCACCTTCGGGAGAAAACATTTATGAGGGGAAAGAGAAACTTCCCGTCGGCCTGGTTGTGGCAGACAACGTGCCCGGGAAGGGGCTCTGGGCCCGGCGGGAGGCCGGGCATCGCCATGGCACAGCCGGCC